CCATTCTCAGCTTCAACTGAGGCCAACCAGATGTCCCAAGGCCAGGCTTCAGGGTCCCACTCCTCCAACCACCGCCCTACCTTTGACATGAGAAACACAGGCTGGGAATTCAGCTGACTTTGGGGATTCTGTAACCCGCACAGCTAAACGCTGTGTTTGCTTTTGAGCCCTGTCAACCCTTGCAGGTGGAGGAAGTGAGCGAATTTTTAGGGCCGTCGTGGAAGTTCTCTGGTTGTCATACGGTGGCTTGAGCTGAGAGGTAAGGAACCTGAACTTGTCCTGGTTTTCTCTGTGCACTCTCAGGTGCACTCGGAAATCGCCCCACACCACAGTCTTTACAGCCGTCCTTAGCGCCATGACGGTCCAGGGCAGCGGCCGCTCCGGCTCCCCGGGGTGCTTACTGCGGTTGGGCCCTTCGTCCCGGTTAACCGCGGGTGAGGGCCTGACGAATTACGAGGTCCCCGCCGGCCACGGGCGCCTCACGTCCCTCTGCGCGTTGGCGAGGAGCCGAGCCCCGCACTCCAGCCCAAGGGCATGACCGGACCCGTCCCCACACTCCATCTTTGTGGGTCCATCTTCTGGGACCACTCCCAGTTCCGATCCTGTGTCCGTCGGGCACGAGTCGGGATACAAGAAACAAAGTTTCTCAACAGAGGGGATTGAATATGAGCAGTCGGCCACTCAGGGATCCGACGACTGGAGTCACGGAGATAATACGGGAGGAACCTGCCGCCTCTAGAGCAAGGGGAACAGGTTGGTGTCACCAGGAGCCTAGAAGCCAGGATGAGGGGGCCTTGAAGAGCCAGAGCCTGGACCTCTGAGGAGGGGCTGCGGCAATTACTCAGGGAAGGAGAAAACCACGTTATCCACCGGGAGGGGAAACAGGGCAGGAGGTAAGTTCGGAGGCACCACCTTCCAGGTCACTAATCCTTTCTTCAGCGGCACCTATCTGTGATTTCATCCATCTGTTGGGATTTTTATTTCAATGACGGTGTTTTTTTGCTTCTAAAGGTTTTTTGTTTTGTTTTGTTTTGTTTTTGACAGAGAGAGACACAGCGAGAGAGGGAACACAAGCAGGGGGAGTGGGAGAGGGAGGAGCAGGCTTCCTGCCGAGCAGGGAGCCCGATGCGGGGCTCGATCCCAGGACCCCGGGATCACGACCTGAGCCGAAGGCAGACGCTTAACGACTGAGCCACCCAGGCGCCCCTACTTCTAAAGTTCTGTTTCCAAATCTGCCTGGACGCTTTTCTTGTTTCTATTTTATTATTAATTATTATTATATAAAGGTTGTATTGATTTATTTGAGAGAGGGAGAGAAAGCACGAGAGAGAGGGAAGGGTCAGCGGGAGAAGCAGACACCCCGCTGAGCCAGGAGCCCATGCGGGACTCCATCCTGGTCTGGGACTCGAATGCTTCCCCTGTGTCTTTATGTTGTTGTCTCTCAGAGGCTATCAAAGATTTGGGGAGGTCGGGGTAGCTTTCCATCACAGTAATGCAAACGATATGTAAATATCCGTGAGCGCCGCCCTCTGATCCCATGAGAATTCAAAGGTAATGCCAGTCCCTGTTTCGAAGTTCCCCCCCCCCCCCCCCCCCCCCCCCCCCGCGCCCACGATGAAGCGCAAGAACAGAAAGTGGTTCTCTTTCTCACCCTCCTCCATTTTTGGTGTGCTGACCCAAGGCCCGCCAGGGGGAGATTCAGCTGGGCTCACCTCTCATGCCTTCAGGACATACTGATGTGCCCCACGTGCCCCAGGAATCTCCAAATGAGGGAGCGAGCCAGACTGTAGAGCACAGCCCACAAAAGGGGGTCAGGCTCGAAGCCCAACGTCCTTGATCCGCACCCTGCCTCGGCCACCTGCTAGCAAGTGATTCAGAAGAAGCCGCTCAACCCATTTGTGCTGTTTTCCTCATTTCCTCACCCGGACAATGGGGCTAACACCAGCTAACAGCCTCCTAGGGCTGCCGGGAAGATGGGACGGGCGGAGCCTAGGCCCACAGCAAACACTCACAGCCATTACCAAAATTACGTTCTCTGGCCTCTGAGAGTCACACCCTGGGAATGTCGGTAGGGCCAGTCCTGTCTTTGACAGACCTGCAGGTTGCCCAGGAGGGTGGGCAGTGTCTTCACTGACCCATCTTCAGCTGGGCCCCCCGGGGAGTCCTGGGCGAGGGAAGCCCGGGGTGAGGTATATCCCCTTCCAGGGAGGGTGGGTTTGCTCTGCCAGGAGCCCAGCAGGACTACCGCGACGGGGGGTGGGTGGGTGTGTGTGTGGGGGGGGCAGTTCCTCTCTCAGCCAGGGGTTCACTGAAGCCCCTCAGCTTGCAGCCAGCCAGGGGAAGGCACCCCCGTTCGTGGGTACTAGGACTGGCGTGGGAGGGTTCCTCCCCCGCTCACCCGGACCCACTTCGTTTTATAGCCCTGTCCTTCCTTGGGCCCGCCGAGGTCGCCCTTCACGAACACTGGTTTTATTTATTTATTTATTTTAAAGATTTTTATTTTATTTATTTGACAGAGAGATAGAGCCAGAGAGCACAAGCGGGGGGTGGGGGTGGGGTGGGGGACGGCCGAGGGAGAAGCAGATTCCCCGCCGAGCAGGGAGCCCCACGGGAGCCTCGACCCCCGGACTCCGGGATCATGACCCGAGCCAAAGGCGGGCACCCAACCGACTGAGCCACCCAGGCGCCCCAAGAACACTGATTTCAGGCGGGATCTCAGTTCTGCTCTCTCACCTTCTGAAAGCCCTTACTCCTAGCACCGCGGAAACCCAACCCGGCAGCCCCTCCACACAGCCCCAGCCGCATCCCTGCTCCCTCCTCTGTTTTCTTTCCTTTCCTTTTTTTTTTTTTTTTTTAAGATTTTATTTATTTATTCGACAGAGAGAGAGACAGCGAGAGCAGGAACACAAGCAGGGGGAGTGGGAGAGGGAGAAGCAGGCTTGCCGCCGAGCGGGGAGCCCGATGTGGGGCTCCATCCCAGGACCCTGGGATCAGGACCTGAGCCGAAGGCAGACGCTTAACGACTGAGCCACCCAGGCGCCCTCCCTCCTCTGTTTTCATTTGCTCCGCTTCCTCAGGGGTGTCTCTTGCTTACCTGCGGGCCACCTATGCATTTAAACAGCGTAACTAACCTTTTCTCATTACATATTTCCTTGCCTTTCTCTCAGACTGGACTGGCATCCCTGGACGGCAGCAGCTGGGTGTCAGGGTGGCACCGCCCCCAGCCCCCACCCCCACCCCTACACCCCCACCCCCGCCCGGACCTAGCCAGGCAGCACTGGAGCCTGTGGCCAACAGTCCAGGGCCACAGGGATTGGACCAGCGGGTCAACCTGCCAGCCTGGGTCACGGAGGAGTTGGCAACAGGGACTCGTAAATTCCGTCCCGAGTCTCCTCACAGTCCTCACACATGGGAGGAGGCCTTTGTGCCCAAGATACGCGACCCAGAAATCATCAGTTGAGAATTTAATACACTTGGTTATCTCAAAAGGTCTAACTTCTGGGCGCCTGGCCGGCCCCGTCGGTAGAGCATGCGGCTCTTGATCTCGGGGTTGTAAGTTCGAGCCCCGAGTTGGGTGTAGAGATCACTTAAAAAATAAAATCTGAAAAAAAGTCTGCAGCTTCTTGACGGCCCAAACCAACAAGCCTAGTCTTTCAAGGCAAAAGACACACTGGGGGGGGGGGGCGCCTGGGTGGCTCAGTTGGTTAAGCGACTGCCTTCGGCTCAGGTCATGATCCCGGAGTCCCGGGATCGAGTCCCACATCGGGCTCCCCGCTCGGCGGGGAGTCGGCTTCTCCCTCTGACCCTCCCCCCTCTCGTGCTCTCTATCCCTCATTCTCTCTCAAATAAATAAATAAAATCTTTAAAAAAAATAAAAACATAAAAAATAAAAAGACACACTGAGGGAAGATCTTCGCAACATACATAACAAAGAACTAACAGCCCTGGTGTAGGACAAGTGTGCCTCTTTAGGGGAGGCAATTCCTTGGTGTCTCTCAACATTTTAAATGCCCGTAGGTTTTGAACCTGGCAATTCCACTTAGAGGTGGTTATCCTAGAGGGAGATCGGCACACGTTCACGGTGGGAAGTTGCAGCGCCAAGGTGAATGGCGGAGAGCGAGCGAGAAAAGGTACAAATACCATCAGTTGGGGACTCGTTACGTAAATGACGGTACACCACGCAGCCAGAGAAGAAATGAGCTAGACATTTGTTTACTGACGTGGGAGGTTTTCAAAGACCTATTGCTAAGGGAAAGAAAGTCACAATGAAACGTGGAAAAATAAATAAATACAATAAAATAAATGTATAGGGTGTCAAGCTGGGGCGCCTGGGTGGCTCAGTCAGTTGGGCAGCTGCCTTCGGCTCAGGTCCTGATCCCGGGGGTCCTGGGATCAAGCCCCGCATCTGGCTCCCTGCTCGGCGGCAAGCCTGCTTCTCCCTCTCCCACGCCCCCTGCTTGTGTTCCCTCTCTCGCTGTGTCTCTCTCTGTGAAATAAATAAATAAAATATTAAAAAAAAAAAACTGTGGATAACTATGTTGGTGATTCCATTAGAAGAATATAGTTAGAAGAGAGAAACAACTGTTAACAATGTGTCTTAAAATAATGTTGCTTTGTAAAAAAGTTTCAATTACGTGCTCTAAAAATATGCAGGGTGGTAATGGAAAATGGTACAGCCGCGGTGGAAGGCAATTTGGCAGTTCCTTTTAGAGCAAAGCATCCAGGGGCGCCCGGCTGGCTCAGTCGGGAGCGCATGGGACTCTTGATCTCGGGATCGTGAGTCTGAGCCCCACGTTGGGTGTAGAGATTCCTTACAAAAGATAAAATCTTTGGGGACGCCTGGGTGGCTCCGCCGTTAAGCGTCTCCCTCCGGCTCAGGCTCAGGTCACGATCCCAGGGTCCTGGGATCGAGCCCAGCGTCGGGCTCCCCGCTCCGCGAGAAGCCTGCTTCTCCCCCTCTCCCACTCCCCGCTGCTTGTGTTCCCTCTCTCGCTGTGTGTGTGTGTGTGTCTCTCTCTCTCTCTCTCTCTCAAATAAGCAAATAAAATCTAAAAAAAAAAAAAAGAAAAGAAAAGATAAAATCTTTAAAGCTAAGCATCCATCTGCACGGACCCAGCAATTGTACCCTTGGGCATTTATTCATTTTTAAAAAAATCTTATTTATTTATTTATTTGACAGAGAGAGAGCACAAGCAGGGGGAGCAACAGGCAGAGGGAGAGGGAGAAGCAGGCTCACCAAGCAGGGAGCCCGATACGACGGGGCTCGTGCTCCCAGGACCCTGGGATCACGACCCCCCCTCCCCCCACCCCCCGAGCCGAAGACGGACGCCTAGCGACTGAGCCACCCAGGCGCCCCTCCCTCGGGCATTTATGCCAAAGAAACAGAAACTTTGGATCGCACGAACACCTGTACATGAATGGTCGTAGCGGGTGTATTTGTAGAAGCCTGAAATTGGGAACAAGCAAGGTGTCCTTCAGGAGGTGAATGTTGGAGCCGACCGGGTGATCCACACCAAGGACTGTAGCTAGCACCACGAAGGAAGAACGAAGCATGGCTACATGCAGCGAGCGATCTGGACGGATCGCAAGGGCATTATGTGAGGGCAGGGGTGGGGGGGGAGCCCATCCCGGGTTACGGATACCTTCCGCATACTGCATGGTTCCAATAACCCAGAATTCTAGACGAGAATACAATACTGGTTGCCGTGGGTTGGGAGGAGATGGGAGGGGGCCGTGGTTATGTCAGGTCCACAGGAGGGGTCCTCGTGAGGGAACCAACTGGACACGGATGCCCGTGGGAGTCACGTGAATCTACACGGGTGATGAAACTGCAGAGCTGTGCGCGCGCGCGCGCGCGCGCACGGATGCAACTCCCACGGAGCTGCTCTCGGATGGCACCCATGCCATTTCCCGGTGTGCAGTTGAACTAGGCGTGCAACATGCTGACCCTAGGGGAACTGCGGCAGGCGCCCTGGCGTCTCTCTGTCACTGCCCGTGAGTTTCTTTACTTCAAGAGACAAGTTCAGACCAAAAGCACACAAGCAGGGCTTGGCGTGGACAGGCAGGACGACCTGCGCGACT